CACACACACACACACACACACACACACACACACACACACACACACACACACACACACACACACACACACGTACAAACAGCAGTCGCGCGATGACTAGTGTCTTACTCGCGTAGCGAGTAAGACGAGACAATGAGAAGCAACAACGCGGCAGCGACGCGAACGATAACTCATGTTCAGCAGGTTCAAGCTGCTTCAGGACGGTGTCAGCTATCTTCTGTTATCATCAGGTGCGCAGCATCGGTTCGCTCTCGCTCTCCGTAGCTCGATTTGCTCAGTCTGATCGATCGATTCCGCGCACGGCGGCAGCCGATGTGTCCCGCTCGACATGTCCCTGCGGAGCTCGCAGATAACTCGACGATGAATTTACGGCGCATTGTTGCACCGGCGTGGCGCGCGCGTTGCGCGGGTTGATCCGATGTCAACATTGTTGCGCCTGGAGAACGCCGCCGCTCGGCAAATTTCGAATGATCTCGATGATCGTCGGCTGATCGCCGTAGTCGCTCGCGCGGATAAATTTAACGCGCGAAATTGTTTAGGAATCGCCTCGATGATTAGTTAGCGGGGAGCCCGATTCTCCGCCGTGCTTCCAGATGTTAGATATTAAATCACACTGACGACTCTCGTTTAAGCACTTTATATTTTATTTAGACGTATCGGGCGTAGAATTACGGAGGCGTACACTTTCACACGTTGAGAGGTTTAAACGGAGTTAAACTTGTCCTGGCTCGATTATTGACACACGTGCGCTAACAAGATACGTAACGTGATACTTGAGCGTTAATTATTTTCTGACATCGAGAGCGGCGATTGTTGCGCGTTGCGTCATTGATTTATCGCAGTTGTCCGTACGGAGTCAACTGCGGAATCACAACACGTGGCGAATATTGATAATTAGGCGGCGGAAGGTCATCGGGATAATTTCGTGCCTGTCGAAACGACGTGATAACGTTAAGTGCCTCGGTATGCGATAATTGGCAATTCATTTATTGACACATCATATACGGCAAGTGTCTTCTAATTATAAATATAAAGTATTCGTCTTATATCTTTGTCTCTACCAAATATACAAGAATGTTAAATGAAAAAAAAAAACCCAATTGTTTAACAAATATAAATGTATTTACATTTGTTAGATTCGTTTAATATAATATCTTTTTTATACATACATAAAAAGAATTTCCATTTCTAGTAATGACAATATAAATTCAAAGGTGAGGATCTATCGCCCACGGGGAACTTCCTGTCTCCCGCCGGATTTACTTCCGGCCGCCGCAACAATTTCTTGCCTGGCTTCGTAATAACGTCGAAGCACGCGCTTTCACATTAGGTGGTAGCCGGTGGTAAAACAGGGGTGATAAAATACGACGCGCCGCGTGTTCCCTCCTCTATATTTCGAATTTAACGCCGCGCGCACCCTCTGCTGCTCTCTCGGCTTTCATGCCGCAGAGAGAGAGAGAGAGAGAGAGAGAGAGAGAGAGAGAGAGAGAGAGAGAGAGAGAGAGAGA